TTCCAATGTCTGCTAGCTTGTTTAAGACCATACAAGGACTTTACTAGCCTACAAACCAATCTTGAGTTCTCTCCCTGGCTAGAAAAGCCCTCAGGAAGAGACATGTAAACCTCATCATGTAAATCACCCTGCAAAAAAGCATTGTATACATCCAACTGGTGAATGTGCCAGCCTGAAGCAGCAGGAATAGACAAGACACTTCTCACTGTAACAATCTTCACAACTGGTGAGAAAGTGTCCTGATAATCCAAACCAACTCTTTGATTGTACCCCTTGGCAACCAATCTAGCCTTGTACCTTTCCAAATCTCCATTTGCCTTGAATTTCACCTTATATACCCATTTGCATCCAATGGGAACTTTACCAAGGGGCAAAGGAACTAACTCCCAGGTATGATTAGCTTCCAGAGCCTGTAGTTCGTCCTGCATTACTGAGATCCAGTGGGGATTACAACATGCTTCCTGATAAGATGTAGGCTCAAGAATGCATAGATGTATGATTGATATTGTGAGGACAAATGAGCATAGCTCAAGGACTGTTAGAGAGGATAAAGAGTAGATTCAACAACTGTATTAGTGACAAAATCAGTCATCCAGGAGGGCTGCTTCCTTGGTCGAGTAGATTGTCTGGTGACCTCAGCTGTTTGAATAACAATTGTTATACCTGTAGGGTCTGGTGGTATGACTGGCTGAAAATCATCAGTTGCATCAGTTGTTGAAGAATCTATAAACACAGGATGAGAGGGGACATGAGCTTTAAAAAGAAAAATCTCTTCCTTAAAACTCACATCTCTGGAAATAAAGAAACTATGAGTGTCCAAGTTGGACAAATCATAGCCCTTAGAGATCTCAGAGTATCCCATATGAACAACAAACATTGCTCTTGGTGCAAATTTATCCCCTGGTGGCAAGATTTTTGCATAGCACAAACAATCTAAAGTCTTGAAATGATCTAAGGACCCTTTGCAGCCATGAAACACTTCAAAAGGGGTCTTCCCTGATAAGAAAACAGATGGCAATCTGTTCGTCATATAAACATCACCCAATACCCAGTGTCCCCAAAATTTCAATGGAATGGAACCTTGAAATCTAATTGCTCTAGCTAACTCCAGAATATATCGGTGCTTTCTCTCCACCACCCCATTTTGTTGTGGGGTATAAACACAAGATTTTTGATGTATGATTCCATAAGATTGAAACAAGGAATAACATTCTGAATTTACAAATTTTGTACCATTGTCTGACCTCACAATCTTTATAGTTTTACCAAACTGAGTTAGTACTAACTGGATAAAAGATCGCAGGATTATGACAACATCACTTTTGAACTTCAATAAGTAGACCCAAGTCATTCGAGAATGATCATCCACAATTGTGAGAAACAATTTATTCCCATCGAAAGTAGGTACATGAAATAGTCCCCAAACATCTAAATACAGTAAATCAAAAACACAAGGTGCTCTAGAATCACTAATAGGAAAATGCATTCTAGTTTGTTTAGCAAGATGACAGATTTCACAACTATCTAGAGCATGTTTACATTCATTGTGATCAAGAGTAAACAGTTGTTTCATAGCTCCAATGGATGCATGACCCAATCTCCTGTGCCACAACAAGATGTCAACTTTATTCTTAATATCTATCATCCCTCTAAGGGATTGGTTGTTAGTGTGGACTGGTTCTTTATGTTGCATCAGATAGAGTCCTTCATGTTCTTCACCAATCTCCAACACCTTCCCACTTGAGAGGTCCTGGAATACGCAAAAGTTAGGGAAGAAGGTGACTGAACATTGTAACTCCTTAGTTAGGCTGGAAACAGACATTAGATTAAATCTAAAATCTGGAATGTAGAGAGCATTGCTCACTGTTTGTCCATCAATAACTTCACAGGTACCAATATTTGAAACATCTACTGAACCACCATTGGGTAAGTGAACCTGTCTATTACTATCACTAACATGAATCTTCACTTCATTTATCAACATATTCTTTGTGATTAGAGGCTCTCGTGTCTATGATCCAAGTCTCTTTAGATGCATCTATAGGAGGATGAGATATATTACCTGCATGTGAACAGAAGGCATTACCTCCCATGTTGGATGATTCTGTGAAATTGCTCATGTTAGCTGAAGATTCTCCCATATTCTCCTTGCCAGTTAACCTCTGAAATTGAGAATGATGTTGTGGATTATCCATGTGATGTTGTATCTGATTGTACTGATTTAAGCATAGTTAGAAGGACCGGGTCCTCTGTACCAATCTCCTGAGTGTGTACCAGAAGGACCTCCCCCTATGTGACTATCAGACATTATTCTATTCTGATTATTATTGGGTAAATATCTGTGGGATTCATTGTAAGCAGCTCGACTAGGTCCTCCTTCATCATTGTACATCTTTCCAGTATCATTCTTCACAAAATGAGCCTGAGTCTGTGTCATCTGATCTCCTCCCCGTACATTATGCTCATTCTGATTTCCAAATTTCTTCTTAAACTTGAAATCTGGTGGGTAACCAATGAGGCTATAACAATCGACTTTGGCATGACCCATGTTTTTGTAGTAATCACATTGGACATTCCAGTTCTTCTTAAACTTGGGATGTTGTGTGTTGCTTTTAGTTGTAAAAGTAACAATATCCATATTCATAGTTGACCCCGTAACAGTAGCCATATTCCTTTGGCTCTCTCTTTCAATCATCATCGAGTATGCCTGATTTACAGAAGGAATTGGGATAAGCATCAAAATTTGACCTTTAGCCTGTTCGTACGTTTCATTCAGTCCCATAAGAAATTACAGCAGCTTTTGTCTGCTCATGAATTCTACAAAACCTCGCGCACCTTCACAATTACAATTGGGAAATGAAGCTAAATCGAACTCTGCCCAACATAGTCGTAATTTTGTGAAATACTCAGAAATGTTGCTTGTTCCTTGAGATAGAGTCACAATTTCTCTATGTAGTTGAAAGATCCTTGAACAATCTGCCTTGTCGAATCTCTCTTTAAGATCATTCCATACTGCACAAGCATCAGATGAATACACGATCCCACTTAACAATTCCTTTGAAACACAATTCATGATCCATGAGAGCACTATTGCATTGCAACGTTCCCAAAGATCTTTCAGATTTGGACCAAAATTCTCTTTTCTGCATTTTCCATCGATCAACCCCAACTTGTTTCTTCCAAGCATGGCGATTCTCATCGATCGACTCCATACAAAATAATTTTTTGATCCTGTCAATTGAATAGAGACTAGAACTACTCCAGATGTATCTGAATTGTTCAAATACAATGAATGATTGAAACCTAATTTCTCAGGTAATTCATTATCAATCACGACTGCCATTGATTCTCCAGCTCTTCTCCTGTTTACGCACCTAATCTAGACCATATTAATGGCCGCAATGCTCTGATACCATGATACAAAATAGCAAATGCAGATAACAATGTATTATGAAGAGAGACTAGAGAACAGAAAGAAGCATCTTCATTGAAGAGAAATCAGTACATAGTGAATTGAATTACTTGGAGAATACACTAAAGTTCTCCCTTATATACACATCTAGTCTTATTCTATTGACAGCTGTAAAGCATTAACTAACTAACAAACTAACTAACTCTGTTAGGAATCTTCTAGTGTTAACTAACTAATGTTAGCACTAATGATCAACTAATCTATTTTATCTAAGTCACAGCTCCAACTTCATTAGAGGAGTGAGCCGATTATTGGGAGACCAGTAGGACCGGGTGGTAGCTTTTTGCTGGATTTGAAATAGAAATATGGTTTAATGAAGAACCAGAAGAAAATTAGTGAGATGAAAAAGACAAGGATGGGAAGTTCCATTATTTTCTCTTCAATTCTTGTCCAGTCTAAAGTTAATAGATTACAAAAATAGGACTTGTGTAGGTAGAGCTTACTTAGATATACATGTGTTTGGATCTATTTAGGGATAAGCTTGAGCCTATCTCGAAAAAAGGAATCTAATCCAACCGAAAAATGGATCGACTATACAGTGCTACCTACGTACCACTAGTGTCATGTTGCAAGTGAGTTAATATAACACGAAGTGGCTCATCTGCCATATTGTGTCGACAACTTTCTACAATCTATCCACAAAGATTATTTTGAAATGTTAGATAATGTCAGTAATCTCTCACATATTTCAAGACTTGTTGGATTTCTATGGTTTAAAACTTTAAATACAGCAAATTTGATATCTTTTACTTATGAAATCAAATTTAGATCCAGAATTATAAGTGAAATATAGAAAATTAAAGAATGAAATTTATTTTGGAAGGGAGTGTATGGTTTCTCATTAAATAAACTTTATGCAACAAAAAATTGAATTAATCAGGTCAAAAAATTCAAAAGGCTTGGGGGGGAAACATTTTTTTCAAAAAAAGTTTGTCTTCTTGGTTAGTTTACAACCTAATATCTGATATCTATTTTGAGGCTTTGACTACTCTTACTTCCCGCTAAAGTAAAAATATTAAAGAATTTTTTTTTTCATATATATCAATTCTTTTTAAACTCCAAAAAGTTAAACTTGAGATCAACTTAATAATAATGGATTATATCTGCACAACCACAAAGTAAGATATCACTTATGTTAGTCACCATTCACCAACACCTAGAATATCCGATCTTATAACAAAAATTGATCCAAAAATCAAACTAGTTGTAACTTTTGAGAATCAAAAGGGCATTCATTACGTAAAAGGGCACGTTAAGAATCTCATACATGCTCAGAAAGGGATAAAGCCATTAAGATAAACAAAGACTTTAAAATATACAGTATAACCTTGTTTTATTTCATACACTACCATAAAAATAACTTTTAGCGGCAATAAATATAGACATTAATAAAGAGTGCTAAAGTTTTTACCGATATTAGTTGAGCGTCATTAGAATCAATGTCACTAAAGGCTTTAAGGACATAGACGAAGAGTGTTAATTGCCGCTAAAAATACATATTTAGCGGTAATTAAACTATTGATATTAATTAATTGTTTGATGTAGTGATACTAGGTATTGCAACAAGAGGAATAGCCTTCCTTAAAGTAACTCCAAACTGTTCTTCCATGTCCAATTTCTCCGGTGTCATTCCATCTGCTAACTTCCAATTAAATGGTTGAATAATAGAAGCCAATATCAAATTCACCATTCTTATAGCCAGCGGCATTCCTGGACATATTCTCCTACCCGCGCCAAACGGTATAAACTCAAAATCTCCACCTTTATAATCCAGACTAGATTCCATGAATCTTAGAGGCAGAAACTCTAGTGGCCTTTCCCATGTCTTGGGATCTCTTCCAATGACCCAAGCATTCACTAAAACTTGACTGTCCTTAGGCACGGTAAAGCCCAACACTTGTACGTCGTGTTGGGCTTTATGAGGTAAGAGTAATGGAGCTGCTGGATGAAGTCTCATGGTTTCTTTTACAACTGCTTGAAGGTATGGGAGTTTGTCCATGTCTGATTCTTTAACTGCCCTTTTTGTTCCTATTTGTTGGATAATTTCTTGTCGTACTTTGTTGAGTTCTTCAGGTTTTCGAAGAAGTTCTGCTATTGCCCATTCTATTGTTAGGGCCGATGTGTCACTTCCAGCAATAAATAAATCCTGTCAATGGCACACAAATATAAGTCAAAGCCAAAAAAACACAAATTTAATCTAAGAAAAAACACTTACAAGGATAATCGGCTTGATAGTTTTGCGATCAAATCCAGAACCTTCATCTTTACAATAATCAAGTAGTACATCCATAAAATCTCCGTCTCTCTTCATCGTCTGACCAGACCCTCTACCTTCTACTCTCTTCTCAATAAGTTGTTCAAATATTTCATGCAACCTTAAATACGCTGGCCTTATACGCCTCCGGACTCCTTGCAAATCTAACCACTTTAGCATCGGAAAATAATCAGACAGATTCGGTACCCCGGCATCCTCCATAATCGTCCATACCAATTCCTTAAACTCATGAGCCTTTTTAAATTCCGGATCCACCATATCGATCGAAAAAATCATGTTCGATATTAAATTCAAGGTGGTCGTGAACGCCACGCGTCCTATATCAACAGCCGAGCCACTCTCACACTGGCTTCTTACATGGCTCACTAGTTGTTCCGCCTTTTGGTGACGTAGTTCTTGAAGTAAATCAAGCCTTTGGTTATTGAACATTTGCATATTACATATTCTTCTCTTGTTCCTCCACGTGTTGTCGGGCGGGATCCATGACAATGTGGCTTCCCGATTCGGTTGGGAAGAGACCGCATCGGGAATTGTGCGAGCCGAGAATGTTTTGTCGTGTGTTTGGAGGATTTCTTTGGCTGTTTCGGAGGAGGAGGCTATAACGGTGGTGATCGAGCCGAGTTTCAGAGTCATGAGAGGGCCGTGGATTTTGGCTAGCTTGGCTAGTGAATGGTTGGGTTTTGAGCCGAGTTGGAGGAGTGAGCCGATTATCGGGAGGCCAGGAGGACCAGGTGGTAGCTTCCTGGTGGATTTAGTATTGTGAATTAACAGTGTGATGAAGAAACAACAGAAAATTAGTGAGATGGAGAAGACAAGGATGGGAAGTTCCATTATTTTCTCTTCAATTTTTCGCAGCCGAACATTGATTTGACTTGTATGGTGATTAAAAAAGGCTCCCTAGTTCCCCACTAGGAAGTATTTATTTTCGTTCATTTAGCTGGATTATTTTGGTTTGTTACTTGTTAATTCGCATTAATTCCTAGTAATAGACTAGTAATTTTTCTTCTATGCTAAGTACTTAGTTTAGCTCAATAATTTTAGGTACACCCAACTTATGCAACTTTTCTACTCTATTAGTTAGGAGATTATATGGACCGTAAATATTTTCTCAAATTCATATTAAGTGAATTGTAAGAGTATGTCATATTTTTTTATGAAAAATATTTAAAGACTATTTTTCATTATTATTCTTGTGATTATTTTTAAACTTTTCTCTTAAAAAATGTAAAGTAGATAAGAAGCTCATTAAATGAAGGGTAAATATAAAAAAATGTCTCAACAATTCTCAGACTTTAAATAATTCAATTATTTTGAACTATAAAAAAGGTCTCAATAATTTGTTTAATATGGACCAGAACAAAAATGTTTAATCTGTCTATTTCAATCTGTTTGGCTTGATTAAGAGTACGACTGTCAAACCACACTAACTAATGTTTGGTTTGATTTCAAATATAAATTTTTTAATTTTTGAAATAAAATTTACATATTTAAAAAATATAGAAAAGTACCACCACGACGGCGCCATCCTCCCCTCTCCTCTCCTTTTCTCCTTTTTTTTTCTTCTTTCTTTCGCTCTGAAAATTATAGGGCACTAAATTTGTTATCTATGAACAGTGGCATCGCCACGTGGTAGTCAAAAAAAAAAATCATATACAAATAAAAAGATATACGAAATAATGAAATAACATATTTTAAACACCTTTAATATAATAAATTGTTATAGCCCAATAAATTCACCTCTTCTTTAAAATGAGGAAGTGCTATGAACCCCAATTAGTGGTAAATTAATATATATATATAGTTGATATCAAATCAAGTACTAAAAAAGTGCTGTAGCTAAATCCAAAGGAGCAAAAAAGTAATCAAACCCATCATCATGATGCAAAGGAGTGGTAAATTAATATATATATATAGTTGATATCAAATCAAGTACTAAAAAAGTGCTGTAGCTAAATCCAAAGGAGCAAAAAAGTAATCAAACCCATCATCATGATGCAAAGGAGGAAGATGGTTTTCCATCCAATCAGTGGCGGCTCTTCACCTTTGAAAAAAAAGCAACCGCCTTAGGCCCCAAAATTTGAGGGGCCTCATTTAAAAAAATATATATATGTTATACATATAACATATTTATTTTTAAAAAAATATTGAGTATTATTTGTAAAAAATATAGACTTTTCATAAAAGAGCAAAGAAGTAATTGAAGTTTGATAAATTATTAGTACTATGTCTCAAGAAAGATTAAATAATTAGCTATAATAAACTTCATAAAAAAATATATTCAAATTTAAGGCCTCCATTTAAATTTGACTTTAGGCCACCAATTTATTAGAGCCGCCCCTGCATCCAATTGAAGGATATTATGGATGGTAAAATTATTGACAATCACGTAATATAACAAAGGATAAAACTAACCGTTAAATAAAAATTGAGGGATAATTTCGACCGTTCTCCGTTACATTTTAAAAAAACAAAAAAAAACTATAGAAGAGACGGTTGCTGGCACAGAAACTAAAGGGACCCAGATGAGCAAAGAGAGACAAGAATGAAAGAAATAATAAAGATTGCGTATCTAACAGAGACAAGTGTACCCACTTAAACTAAAACAACACATGACACCTCATCTAAGTTCCACCGTCTTTCTTTCTACCTGTCGTTTTCCTCATTTTAATTTGTTTTAAAACAATATGACAATTTTTAGGTTTGAACTTAATGTCTAATTAAACAATGCTATATAAAGTAAAACGAAAAGAGAAATTATTAATGATTCTTTAACCAACACTTTGTACTTAGAGTCCGTTTGAATTGACTTAAAAAAATAGTTTTTAAGTTAAAAATAATAAGTCAACTCAAATGACTTTGTCAAAAAATAAAAAATAGGGAAAAACCTACTTTTTATTTTTTTCACTTATTTTAAGTCATTTTAAACTTATTCTATGTAATTTTTACCTTGTCAAATATTTTTCAACTTATTTTAAGTCATTTTTGACTTATTTTAAATTATTTTTTATATTTATCAAACACTTTCAGAAATCAAAAACTGACTTAAAATTAGATTTAACCAACTTTTAAGCCAATCTAAACACCCACTTATTCATTTTTTTAACTCCCAAAATTAAGTAGTATTATTGACTCACCGAATCCACACAAAACCTGACTAGCCAAGCTAACTTGTTACGTGCCTGTTTTTTCTTTCTTTTCCGGATTACAAATTTGTACATACAAATTTTTGTTTTGTATTAAAAGTATTGATGAATTTAGTTGAACTTTACATGTGAAAAAAGAAGAAGATCAAGAGTCAAGAAAGTGATCAAGAGGCAAATATGGTGGGCATTTTTTCAAGATTTTCTGTGAGCAGAGTTGGCCATCGTCGAACTCAAAGTGCACTTGTATGTAAATAAATTGTCTTCTGGTTGACTGATTCTTGGCGTTTTTGTTTTTGTTTTCAGTCTCTATATTGTGCTAATTTACGAAATCTTTTGTAGCGCCTAGTCTTACTTTTGGTCTGATTACATCTAATAAAAGTTTGTTCTGATTCTTCTATTCCACCATGAATTGACATGATAATTAAACTCGTCATATTGGTATTTAGTTGTTAAGTTATTTAACGTATGATTAGAAAACATAGCATTAATATGAGTATCGCTCTCAACTGAAAATTTCTCTGTTAGAAAGCCATTTAGGACTTGTTTCCTAAGCGCGCCGCGGAGATTTAGTTATAGAAATTTTATGATGTAATTTCATTGCAGGATGAAAGGGAAGTGTTTCCCCCAAATTCAGAGGCTACTATAGACAGGGCTTCCTCTGGGACGCCTCATGGTGTTGAATTTGCAGTTGAGTTCAAGCCAGTTAAACACCCATCTGAGCCTCTTGAGATTGATCGACCAATTCAATGTCCCTTTCCAGAACCTTCAGTACTAAATGTAAGGTCTTCAACTCACCCTATATGTCTCTGAAGTTGTCCTCTGTAGTCATGTGAATATGTTCTATCAAGTATGTGTAAATACTCATCTCTAGAGGTGGATTCAAGATTTAAAGTTAATGATTTCAACACTCTTTATTTTTTGGAATTTATAGGTCGAAAACTTAATATTCGTATTTTTGAATATTCCCGGCTCCTTCATTTTACTTGTTAGGACTGCTAACTGGAATTTGTACAATTCTTGACTTACAGGAGGGAAGAATATGGAAGGAGCGAGGGTCTTCTGTGCGGCGAATTAGAAGGCCTGAAGGAAGAGCTACCGACTCTATGGCAACTCGAACAATACCTAGACCTCCCAAGAATCGGGTTATTCTTCCATCAATGAGTGCACCTGAACATAGTCTGCTTAAATTGTTGGAGGAATCTGGGATTTGTTGATGGATTGCTCAGCTTTGTCAAGGTACTATTGCTATGCCAAAGAAACGTGATGGTATTGTGTATGTAAAAATTCAAACACAGTTGCATGTAAATTTCTATAATAATGTTAAAAAGATTTCCTTTGTACTGCAGACACAATACTATGTTTTATCATAGTGTTGTATCTTTTACATCATTATCGATTGATTCTATTATACAACTCAAAAAAATGTATGTTCCAAATACTTGAACCCAACTCATTTCCATTTCACTTGTCAATTCTTCTTAGCTGTGCTTGGTGCAAAAATCTTGGAGAATTATCTGAATATTCTTCATGGATATAATATTCCACCAACAAAATTACCAAGGACCTGGTATGGGCTGTATGTCTTTTTTTTTTTATGAGCAAAAATAAAATATGGGGTGTATGCTAATGAGTTGATATTCAAAACATAACTAGAACTAAAGAAATAACACAACTCTTCGTTCATTGAATAAGTATGATACATAGTGCATCCTCTTAAATGATAAAACAAATTAAAAGAATCATCTTTCATCAAACCTTAATAGCTTAACAATGACGCTAAGACAAAAAGAGCTAGCAATTTTTAAAAATATCTAAGCAAGATACCACATGCATTACATTTGCGAACTTTCCAGCCTTCACTTTAATGGCGCCTCAGTGAATACCCAGATTTTTGAAAATCCTTTCTAGGACTGAATTAATCATGGCCGTGGTTAAAGGTAGCAGGTGGTTTCTCCATACTTTTACAGCCTTAGCATCACCCTTTTTTCATTCCACCCTAACAACAAGCATATAACATGGATGATAAGAAATAGAGAAGCCCAGTTTTTTATGCGATCAACCTTTGTAGAGACATAATATACCATCACTCAGCAGACCTCTATATCTCACATCTCTTAACCTATGTGATGCAAGGAAGCTACAACAATAGGAATGTAGAAAGAAATGAAAGAAAAAGAAGATGCATATATGAAATACAACCGGATCCCTCACATTCTAGAACGAGTCTATCACGAAGACGGATTACTGTCACCATAATGATTCACTTGATCTAAGCCTCCCCTGAAAGCCCACTGTATTTTACCTATTAAATATCTTAACAAAGTGGCAGACTGTTCTTCAAAAAAAATATATACCGTTTCTGCTGGAACTGATGAATAAATTTGGACAGCTGGGCTTGCACCTAAATTGTTGGAGTTGGTCAATAAAGGGATGCATGAAGTGAAATAGCAAGATACAAGATTGCAACTCTCTCCTGGGGTTGGTCAATAGATAGACTGCATGACGCAAAGGAGCACGATATATGCTTTTTTTAAACTTTGTTATTGTCTCGCATAATTAGAGTTTTGACACCAACTTACATAGATATAACTCACAGAAGGATAGTAAAATAACACCACTAAAGTAAGGTTAAAGATAATATTCCAAATTAGTCCTGTAAAAGTAATAAATACAGGAACTATTTATAATTTGTTTACTACGTAGAATGTAACTTTACGGGCATGGAGACTTGAGCTAAAAGGCCTCAGCAGAAAATACGAGGGAGGTACTCACTTTAGAAATGTAAACTCCATTTACGATGGCAGCAATATGTCCAGCTGGAACAAGTTAGCTCAGCTATTAGATTTGATGGCACTGGCACCATTACAAGATTGACTATTTCTTTGTGAAAGTCTAGCAGGCTTCTTAGAGTAGCAAGAATTCCACTCCCCACCATCCTGAGAATAATAATCCATCGGATAATCCACTTGAGACTCTTCCTTCACTTTCTCACAACCATTATCACAAGCACCACAAGATTCATTCTTTGAACACTTCATATCTTCATCACAGCATATATCTGAATTCACTGAAGTCTTCCTCTCCCACCACCCAGACAAATCACCCAATGCAATCTCCGCCTCAAATGGCGTTAGTAAAGGCTTTTTAAACGCATCTCCCCAATCAATTGACAACCTCGGACAAGCAATCTGAATCCAAGCATCCACTGCATCCTCAAACAATGCAATCCTCATAGGAGATATCTCCGACATCAACACAACTGTCCAAGTCATCCCCTTTTCCGACATCTTCTTCTCTAACCTATCCAATATCCTTGGATTGCCTTGCCTACCTAATGTCCCAAGCACTATTCCCCAATTCTTCGCCCCCCTCGCCTTCTCAATCGCTCTCTTCCTCTCCTCCTTCATTCCCTTATGATCATACTCCTCCACAAACAACTTCCCTATAAATGGATCATATCTATAAGTCTTTATCCCCGGATTCGCTATCATAAACGCCTCCAAATGAAACCTACCGTCAGCCACAAATACCAAAACCACATTCTCTCCATCAGAAAACCTGTTCTTAACACTCGGGGCAGTACAGCCGAGTACCTCCCCAGCCGATAACGGTTTAGCTTGAGGAATCAAAATACTAAACCCCAATTTTTCAAGTTCGGGCTTAACCGCCCGAATTGCAGAAGCAAATTGAATTGTTCCAGCCATAATGATATTGTCATACGTATCAGAATTATAAAAATTGAGTTTGAGTTCATTCAACAACCTGTGAACATCGATCGAGATTTCGACGAATATATAAAGGCATGGGATAGTGGTGGAATCAATAGGCACGAGGCAGCTATGGCCGAAATGAATGAGGAGATCAGCGGAAAGAGCTCCTGCCGAGAGATCGTCGACGCAACACGCGCCGAAAGTCACATCGCCGAGGATGAAACAGTGAGTGGCGGAAGTGAATGTGGAGAGTATATCGGAGATGATGAGTGAATACATGAGGAGGCCCTCGGGGAACTGCAGGGCCACGCGCTTGGCACCTGAAGTTCGCACTCGCCATACGCACTTGTGGATTTCGAAGTTGTAGTTTTGAGGTAGAAGTGATATGGCGGCGTTGAGTGCTGCATCGTTTAGGATGGAGTCTGGTATTTGGTTCTTCACGAACCGCTTCGGACGTGACCGAGTTGACTGCTGCAGTGGCTGCTGATCTCCGGCGTTAACTGCGGTCGTCGTCGCCGCCGCCGGAGTAGGGTTCAGTGGGAGAAGGTCGCCGTGTTCTTTCTCCATAGTTTGTTAACTGGCGGTGTCGATGTAATGGAGAGAGACTGAATTTTGTATAAATACTGTGATTAAAGGCTAATTAGGGATCTCTAGTATCCAAACACCTCTTTCCATTTGTTTTTCTTACTTTTACTTTTTAGTCCATTTATTTCATGTTTAGTTTGTAAATAAGATAAAAGTTATTTGTATATTAATTATATAATTTTTGAACCAGAAACCTTAATGATACCACAAATGAGTATATATATATATATATATATATTCTTATAGCATCATTGACTAATGAGTAATTTCTCAATAAGAAACTTTAATGATACCAATACATTTAATATCAGTTAAGCAAAATTATTAATTTTAATGATACGAATAGTCCAATGCAGTATATATATACTGATTTAACATCAGTTTTAAAAAATCAAATTTCTTCTTAAATGATTTTTAGATTGGGTTTTGAGTCCAAAGTTCTTGCTATTTGTTTGTCATAATTTCAAATGTGACAATGGAACGATAAACCATGCAATAAGACCCACACGGGAACAATTGAGGAATTCTTGTGTTGATAGGAGAACACAAGTATCCACTGAAATAATTGATATATGTGTAAACTGGCATGGACACCACCATTATAAAACGAAAAATTCAGAGAGCTATGTGATGAATTAAAGTTTATTTCTTGGTGGGTAATGCTTGGGGGTGGGATCAATTAGAGAATGGACATGAAACTCCAAACTTAATCCAAGTATAAAAGATAAGACTCACCATTGGAATGAAGCTAACATTTTGATTCCACAAATCATACAGAGTTCTGAAGTAAAAGGGACCTAATTCTAACAAGATCAAAGTTTTGGGTAAAAATACAACAGGCACTCATTTGGTGCTTATTGATGAAGGTGATTCTGACCTTACAGTACAGAGCTCTAATATATCCTTCTTGTGATGTTGTAGTCATATAGCATGATAAAACCATCGGATATAATATCCTATACCTGCGGGTCATTATTGAAGTTGGATTGAAGAAACAGCTGCTGTAATTTCCTTGGCTCGAGGATCATGATCTTCCAAAGACACACCGCGAGGATCTTCCGTCACTAGCATAGCAAGAACATTGAGTGAACTCCAAGTTTTCGTCACATTTTTGCTTGAAGGCCCCAAAGTGACGGCAAAGACTGCATCAAATCCACCAGCACCAGGAACACCAGCCAACAGAACCCCCTCCATACTCATCGTTGTATCCAGAAGGTGAGTTTGTGATTCAGGCTCTATCTGTGAATTTGACACATGGTGAAAGATGGTTTAAAAAAATGGGAGAAGACAGCAATGCAGCTGACTCCTAAGAGCTTTTGATTTTGAGTACATGGTAGCAACAAACTTACCGGAATTCCTGCAGCCTCTCCCATTTTGCGCATATAATACCTGATTCCAAGCATCGCATCTCGGGCTCCTAACAACTCTTTAACAATATCTGCTTGACTTGGTTCATTTGCTCTCTCAAGCCACTAGTCATGGTGAAAACCAGAAAAAACATGAGTTTTTGAAGAAAATTTCATAAACTGTGGAAGGAATATTACATAATCCAACCAAAAAGTAATGATGCTCGATTTGAAGACAGAAATATTTGCAAGGAGCTACTTGGATTATCTAAATAATTGATCTCGAAAATTTCATTCAGACATGCAGGAGAAAAGAATTGAATGACCTTTTTTAGATCGTCAGTGTCTTCCTCCAAAACATGATGGTATTAAAAATAAGGATTTTTTGTTGTGTTGAGACAACATAATGGAAGCTTCTCTAAGAAAAATGATTGTTGTTAAGGGAGAAATTGTTCCAGCTAATGGTTGCAACTTTGAAGGACTCGAAGGAGGATGCTTGAGGAGGAGGATTATGACTCCTAACAGAACGAGGGCTTAAAAATTCACTGGACGCAAGTTCAGAGGAAGGGGGCTCTACTGCCTCAGAAAGACTTGCCAGTCTATTATAGTGGAACTAGAAGGTCATCCTTCGCTCCTTATTGATATGATGCGAGGAGCAAATAAAGTTCAAAATCAGAAGTAGAATGGGAATTATTGAGAAGAGGGTATCTTTTGGAATTTGTTTTTACAGGGGGAATAAATCCCTTATTCTACATGTGTTAGCCTGCACTTGCAGTATGTTTGTGTTAATTGTTTCCATTAGCTCTTAAGTAATACATTTTTCAGCTATTATGGCTGTAGTTTCATGTGGTTTTTTAGTGAGAATGACTAATCAAGAAGGTAGCCAACCCCAAGCAACTTGGGATTGAGGGTGTAATTATTGTTCTATGACTTATCAAGAAGGTGAAAGTAACCACTGCTATGGTTCGGAATCAACTCAGTAAAGTTAAGCCAATTTTCAGCACTTCAAACAGCCATGGATACTTAGCAGAGTAAGCCTTTCCAGAACAAGTTAGAAGCTAAGTGCATCAAGGATAATTATACGTACCATTAAGCATAAAATGAAGCAAAATACTTCCGTACTGAATACGGATAGTTCGCAAAATTTCTACATAATACTAGATCTTGAACTTCCTTTTCAATTTTGACCAAAAGAATTTTACCTTTTCTGCTGGAAGCAGGCTGCAGGCGTTGATGAGACATTCATAAACATTGCAGTTCCGTTCTGCCAATTTACATAAGGTATTAAGGTGCATTTCCAAGGCAGAGTTCCCTTCTGACAACTTTCTCCATGTTTCAAGAGAATTCTGAGGATCAGACTTCTGCCATTTCTTAACAGCACCAACCATTGATGGGGTAGAAGATCCTCCACTGCCCGGTTCTCCAAGTAACTGCAAGATGCTTAGCAATCAATTTCAGCAACTTAAAGGAAGAAAAACTGTGCACCACAGACAATTTACATGGTAATTAATAAGTCAAATTTTGTAGCAGTAGAGTGTAGTAGTGAGCCTCAAAAGAGCAAGAAAGAATCCATAATAATGGGCCAGCATAAGGTCAAAAATTTTAGACAGGATACTTCAATGTTAATGTTTGTATAGACATGCCAACGAATCCCATTAAAGTAGGCTAGCAAATGCATGATAAGCTGCATGAGTGACCTTCCAACTAAGATTCATTACCCATCACAGCTGAAGAAATCACTTAATCTTAACACAGCAAAAATTGTGTGTTTTAACCCTCGCACCACAAAAAGTGACTATATTTGACAACAATATTTAGCAGTTGGGCTAAGCAACTTGTTTGTGGTTCACTATGACTGCATGATAATCAATCTTATGTCCAATCAACAATGAGCTTGGAGGTCAAAAAAGGATGTGAGGATTTATAATTAGAAGAAGAGTTATACAAAAGAGATGATTATCAGGTAAATCAGATTTTTTTTATCATCCAGCTTACTAAAAGTCGATAAGAAATTGATCACAGTTATACAGACAATGTTCAACAGAATATGGAACATAATTTATCAAGACTCACGAGAGTCATCAATGGAGGCAATGAAAACTTGGTCCTCTCATGGTCCCACTTGGCTTTCAGGACATCATAAATGACTTCTGTTAGTGGTGTAGCCATACCTGCATTCTGCAAATCCAAAATAATCAACAAGTCAGAGCTATTTGGAAGATTCAACAAAATTAAGATGCAAAATCTGCAGTATCTCTCAACTCTACCACATAATATTATCTTTTCACTACTAAAACTCTTTCTTTACATTATTTATTCCTGTATGGTAACCTACATCTACCCCACCCCGACCTCCCAGGAATCAACAGAGGCCTTTCCCCACTTTGCTCTTTCAGTGACTCAAACCCCATTATCGAGGTTGGATGTGGAGGGTGCTTTCAACTTGAGCCACCCCATCTTGTCAAGTCTTCCTTCAAATTAAAGCAAACTACTGATAAGAGAAGGCATCACATTTCCAATAGGTTTCGCATGGCACGGGAAAGAGGTCATGCCATCATTCCTTAACTTCAGTCGAGGAGAGTTCAAATAAACAACCAACAGAAGCAACATCTCTTTAAGCACTTCTAGACTAAAGACCTTGGCAGATTGAAGTATTTTCTAGGTATTGAGGTTGCTCAGTCTAGATCAGGTATTGTTAATTCTCAACGCAAGTATGCCTTAGACATTCTTGAGGAGACAAGAATGATGGGATGTAGACCTATTGACACTCCTATGGATCCGAATGTTAAACTCCTTCCAGGACAGGGGGAGCCACTTAGTAATCCTAAAAGGTATAGACGGCTTGTTGGAAAGTTGAATTATCTCACAGTGACTAGACCTGACATCTCTTTTCCTGTGAGTGTTGTAAGTCAGTTTATGACTTCCCCTTGCGATAGTCATTGTAGAAGCAGTTGTTCGTATTCTGCGATATATAAAGTCAGCTCCCAGTAAAGGACTACTCTTTGAGGATCAAGGCCATGAGCATATCATTAGATATACAGACGCTGATTGGGCAGGATCACCCTCTGACAGACGTTCGACATCCGGATATTGTGTTTTAGTAGGAGGTAATTTGGTGTCGTGGAAGAGTAAGAAACAAAATGTGGTTGCTCGATCTAGTGCAGAATCAGAATATCGAGCAATGGCGACAACAACTTGTGAGCTAGTTTGGATCAAACAGTTGCTGGGAGAACTAAAATTTGGCAAAATTGATCAGATGGAACTTGTGTGTGATAATCAAGCAGCTCTTCATATCGCATCAAATCCAGTGTTTCATGAAAGGACTAAGCACATTGAGATTGACTGTCACTTTGTCAGAGAAAAGATAATCTCGGGAGATATTGTTACGAAATTTGTGAAGTCAAATGATCAGCTTGCAGATATCTTCACCAAGTCCCTCACATGTCCTCGTATTAATTACATCTGTAACAAGCTAGGTACATATGATTTGTATGCACCAGCTTGAGGGGGAGTGTTAGAATAGAAATAAGTATTTCCTACTTCGAATAGGAATAGGAATAGGAATAAGAATAGGAATCCTAGTTGGAAAAGGATTCCAATGTAGTGTCTATAAATAGGGTCTCAATGTAACAATTTAAATACACAATTCAATAATATTTTTCTCATATATTTCTCACATGATCAATATATGGGACGGAGAGAGTACCTTGTAAGACAGAATTTGAAACTCTGCAGTTTTGATTAGAGGTGGTTTAGCATGACTACTTTGTCTAAAAACTACTACAAAGTAGTGTTAGTAGGAAGGAGCGATGGTTGGCATCTCCCCCAACAGGGATGGGAACGGCCTTCGGGCTTCACCTGTTACCACACATCCGGTTAAGGCTTCCCACTTTGGTGGATCTTTCCCCAATTTTTTCCTCATAAAAATAAAAATAAAAAACTACTAGAAAGTAGGTTGTTTGAATTTTTGGCAACGTGGCTTCATGTATACAAATGACCAACATTTTGAAGAGCAGAAACTATCTTAGTTGCAGCTTCCCTTGTTACCCTATTCTGTAATTCAAGAAAATAACCATAAAGAGTTATATTTCTGGGCGCAAATAGAGCCTCAAGCAACCAAGCTAGAGTTTAGCCTTCACACCAATGTCAATAGTCTAAAGCAAGTTTTATCAGGCCGCTGAGCTAAAGGCCCAGCGGAACCAAGACGTTATTCCGAACTTGGTTCCACCATAGCTACTTTGACATGAAGGTGGTAACACTTCTTCTGGATTCATGCCTAGCCCAGCAGCAATTTTTCCACCTCACTGTCTTTATTTGTGCTATCACTAACCCGAGCAGCGTCATTCTATCAAGTTAACAATAAACAGGAGAATAGCACCTTGTGGTGCCAGAAACAGCCTATTAACAATGCGATTTATATATATTTTCTAGAAGTTGTCTCAATTTGGAAAGAGTGTCAACTTTAATTATCAATTTCCAGAACAAAAGCTATTTAAGTTCTGGCGTGGACTTGCCATGAGAGATGAAGTCTTTGGCAGATTCAAAACTAAAGAGTAGTAACCTAGGGCCATTGTTTTCATTTTTCCTGTTGCTCTCTTACACTCGACGCTAAATTAGAGAAGGTCATCTCTTCTATCTCTTTTCTTTTCTTTTGAGAATGGTAACATCTTTTCTTCTATCATTACTTCCTCTGAATTGATTAAACAAATTGGAAAGACAAGAAAGACCTGAGCAGAGGAAAGCACTTCAGGTGAAAACCGCACATAACGTTGGCTGCCAAAAACTGCAGAACTAACATCAAATCCGCTGCCAACTTTACCCTGAGCAATGCAGTGGGCAGTTTGAGCTATCACGTGAACAATATCAAGATCACTATCATCTTTCCTTCCGTGTGATTGATCCTCAGAAAAAGAGGAGAGACTAACAACACCAAGATAATGAAGCAAAGCAGCAACCACAGCTGTTGTCATAGCTGCTGATGACCCCAATCCAGTTTTTGCAACTTCAGGCTTCTGATTTTCTCCAATTGAATCTTCTGCATTAAAGGTGATTGATGTAAAAGGTGGAAGGGAAGCCAATGACTCAGGAGTAAGAGGGAGTCCACGCGCTTCAATCTACAAGACATATTTAACAGATTAATGTCAAAAATCTTACAACAAAAATAAAATAAAGTAATAAAAGCTTTGGTCATGTCTTTTATTACGTTTATCTTGTGCAACTGAGGCTTCACCAAAGAAATTTGAACTGACTTAGTCATGAAACTATGAAAAAAGGAAGCATCCAAGTTGATCAGTCCCAACCGTATAATAAGAAGACCAGTACTATTTCTTGTCCTATGCTCATGCATAAGTAGAGTGGTATCAACCAAATTAAATGTTCTAATTTGACTCTGGTATGAAATGCATGTGACTTCAAACATCAAGATTTACGTAATCAATCTGTTCTTATGTAACTCAAACCATTATCATGTTGATGAACGTAACTGAAACATTATTCCATAGAACTTCTTCTTAGCTTTGACATGTCTGACATTTTTAAACATAATAAGATTTTTGGTCACACATTATTAGCTTTTGTCAAATTAACATAAACAATTTGAAACGACCCCAAAAATGCCCGAAAATGTGCTTCGAAAACACCTAAAATTGTAATTTCCATATATCTCAAAATCCGTGCATCATTTCGGAAATTCGACTTCATATTCTTATTCAGGGGGTCAAATTGAGTGGGAAATGAGTCTAACCCGAATTTTAGAACAACCGTATCAAAATTCGAAAATCGCAAAAAATGCGATTTTGAGGGTCAACTTTAAAGGGGCATATCTCTCAGAACACAAGGAACTGGAAGGAGCTCAAACTATCAAAATTAAAGCTCTGTGAGTTAGCTTTCCAACGCAATTTGTTTCACCTCATTCCGAGTTAGGATGAAGGAGTTATGACCATTTTCGTAAAACCTGTCCGGCAGAAAATGCAAATTCCAGTAGCCGAAAATACTGTTCACCCGCCTCAATTTTTTTTCTAAGTGTTGGGACGTTTTTATAAAAAGGGGACATATCCATACTTAGTCATTTAACTTCAAAACATCCAAAAACTCTCTCTAAACCCTCTCCAAAAATTCCACCAAGATCATCAACCAAATTCAAGGATCCCAAGCTTTAATTCCGGATTCAAGATTCAATCTCAAGCAATTCTCCATTCCAATCTTCATCAAGAATTCTCCAAAGTTGAGGTATGTGGGTTGATTGTGGAAACCTTCCTTTCCACAAGTCCAACCATTTATCCTCTATTTTACTTCAAGTTTATGGGTCCTTATGATCATTTATGAACTCTTGAATTATGGAATTATTACTACACATCCTATTATGGTCTATTTTTGTATATTATCATGAAATGGAATGATTATATGATGTTTATGGTTTTCATGCCTCAATGATCAAATTATGAAGGTTGTTATATATGTATATATATATGTATGTTGTTGGTGGGCTGTTTTATATGGATTTTGAAATTGGTTGGACTTAGTACTCTTGAAACACATGATTTTATTTACATGAACAAGTAGCCCACCATATGTTTGATAAAATGCCATTTATAGAATTCTTATGAAATGGAAGGTCCAATGTACGTCCTATGAGTCGGATGATTATATAAGTATTGAAATGATGATGAAATGGATACATGTATATGATTTTCTCTATATAGTGTGTGAGTCGATCAAGCCTAGCTCGGGGGGGTTGTAGGCCCGGGTAACCGTATCAAGGGGTTGGTACCTTGATTGCCTAGTACGGGGGGTAGTAGGCCCGTATAACCATATCGAGGGGTTTGTACCTTGGTTGCCTAGTACGGGGGGTAGTAGGCCCGTATAACCGTATCGAGGGGTTTGTACCTTGGTTGCCTAGTACGGGGGGTAGTAGGCCCGTATAACCATATTGAGGGGTTTGTACCTCTTTCGCCTCTCCAAGGGGGTGGTAGGCCTTGGAAATACTATATTGATGGTCACTCACTACACATATACTATGTCCTACTAAATATGATTTTTATATAAGCATCATTATACATATCATCTCATTAATATGCTATCTATCGGGTACGATTATGCATTTTTCCTATGATGTCCATCTATTGTAGCATTGCATTGCATCCCACATACTTAGTACATTCAAACGTACTAACGCATACTCTATGCCTACATGATGTCACCATGTAGGGACCGGAGCACCGCTTGACCATCCTCCTCCGCGTGGCTAATACGATTTCCTATCAAGGTTATTGGTGAGTCCTCCATTCCGGGGACGTTGCTCATGATCTTTTGCTATGTATAAGACTTTTCTTTTTAGTTATGTTTTGACTATGAGGGTGAGCCCGGTAGTTTGTCTTGGCCCCCGCTAAGTACTCATGTTTAGAGGTGGTGTTGGACAAGTTGTGTATTATGCTTGAGCTTGACTCATCTATGGTATTTATGTACCATTTCTTTTTTTTTCTTGCTCCCTTAGTCCCGATTTCCCCCTTGATTATGCTTATCGCTTATGGTCATTTTAATTGCTTCCGCGACCAATGATGTGTAAGATACGCTATGAGGCTTGTTTGGGGTTCCTTCGGGTTCCCCATTCGCCGGTCACGTCTAGGCCCTAGGCTTGGGTCGTGACACAATTCAACTTAGATTACTTAATTCGTACTGAGTCATCGATGTAGCAACTTTTTCTTTAAAACCATCCAAGCAATTCAGCAAAGCTAAGACGTAGATCTATAAACTACATGTCATATTAGAAATATTCTAATATAAGTAAGCTGCAAAGGAGGACCACCTGATTCCGATACGAATAGAACTCATTGCATCCCAAGATTGTTATATCAAGACCTGCATGACTAATAATGTTGAGATATTTTCTTTTTGTTTGCAAATGAGGAAATTAAATTCAATTTTCAATAAATGACTTTATCTTCAGGAAAGAAAGGCAAAAGTAAACAGTCAGACGCTACCTTTCAGAAGTAGTTTCTGTAACATATCCTTCTTATCTTTGTCAAATGTTGCATGGGCTGCTGCTATGGCATATTCCACTGCATATTCTACAAAGGGGTTTCTTGATTCACTGAGATTAAACGAACATAGTAGTTATTACATTTCTAGACACTTATATCTTCTAATAAGGAAACAGACTGAACCATTCAATTATCTAATATGCTTATTCCTTAAATAACAAATATCATTGATTCAGAAAAAAATAATGAAATAGTTTCATTACACTACTTGCCTTGAAGAGACGCTCTGAAGTTTTAAATTCTTAAGAGACAATTTGTACATAGTTTCTCTGTCCATCTGAGGAGAAATCAATTTAACATCTGCCCAACCCTAAAAAGTATAAGAAAGACACAGGTAGTTTACAATCTACTTTGCAAAGGGAAAAGAAGGAAAAGTAATACAAAAGTGCTTCTTAAGAAGGGAAAAAGGAAATGATCAAACTGACTTCTGATCAAATGATTATCCAGTTTAGTGCGGAAAATATCACTCACCCATGCCCAACTTTCAGGTATAATTTCCTCGTGAAGTGGCTTCACAATAGCATAAAAACGAGCGTTTGTACTCAGTACAATACCAGCATTTTTCCTCTCCAAAACAAGATAACCTCCAGTCATCAGAACCTTTCCAGGAGCAGAGGCCACACTATTTAACCATAAATAGCAATTGCAATCAGACACAAGTACATGCACAAATGGGCACATTCGAAGATCGAGTAAACACACACTTACACAGCCATTTCTTTATAATTCTCTCTTGGATGAATAGAGCAACTTTTACTTGACAGAGATCAACTGCAGTTCAAAATTACAAAAATCATAAAAAAGATTACATCCTTAATATTTGACTGTGAAGAAGAAAATAGAAAAGGAAAAACTCAAGTATGATAGCAATCATTCA